TATCTCTCCTCATCCCACAGTAACCACTTATCTCAAACCTACCCTATAAGAAACGTACCCCGCCAGCGCCGGAGAGGTGGGACACGGGGGCTCCGCAGCACCAAGGCACATCCTAGGCAGCCTCCATTAAACCTCACCCAACGCAGGAAGATGTACCAAGTGCACGCTTGCCACAGGGGTCCCTATGGTACTAGCAACACATTGCCCGAGCAGCTACCATGACTGCTAAGCTCATCCCAGCCTCGGCAAGGAAAGAGATGGCTGCTCTGCACCTGGTCCCTACACTATTCCCCTCTGTCTTAGATTGCCGCAGAGGAGGTGCTCATTGTCCTCCTCCGTATTCTGTGTTGCAATTATCTTATTAGCATAAGAGCCCCAAGAGTCGCTAATCACAAAGCCACAGTCCCAGAAGACAGCAGAGTCTTACAGCAGCCCTCGCGTCCCAGGACGCACACAGGGTCACACGTGCACGCCGAGCCTTTCCCAGGCTGCAGCCAGCTGAGAGACGCTCTGCTCCAACACAGGTGCCTACCAAATAGACACTAGAAGGGAAGGTCAATCCACTATTCTTGTAATGGTAGAAGAACTGACTCCCAAGATTTAAAATAAAAATTAAATAAATGAAAAAGCTTGACACTTACCTGAACAGAGCAACCTTCACCTCCTGGATCCCGGGGGAGCAGAGCCAGCATAGATCAACCTGCCACCACAAAAGGACGGCTCCACAGAGCGCTCTCCCACCTGGGCACCACACAGCGTGGATAACTTGTGGCATTGATAAGCTGCAGCATTTTATATCGCAAGTCTCAGATTTGACATTTCAATGAAATTCTTGCTTCTATATTCAAGGTACAGTTTGAGAAATCCCAGTTTTCATTTTGAAACAAAACCAAAACCACATAGCTTTCACAGAAGGAAAATAAAATTTAAAACAAGGTGCAGGAGCAGCCTAGAAGTCAAGGAGGAATCCAAGCCATGCTTAGGTAAACAAAATTAAGACTTAAAATTAATCTCAAAACTTTTCAAAGGGTTGAACTCTTGAAATCGGAAAAACTAGTTGCTAGACTTCTCAGCCCTCCTGAAGGAGCTGATGGAGAACTGCTGGCTGCTTGCAGCATTCAGACAAAGCAGGTTTGCCTCACAAAGCCAAGAAGAAAAGCTAACAGCATATTCACTCCTACCCCACACCAGTCCTTGTGAGCATAGGGGAGGAAATGCTCCAGTCCCTCACACCTGGGGCTCATAAAACCTTGCCCAGCTGGGAGCAGGCATGAGGCTCCTTTAAGGAGCCTCAAAAAAAGGTGCTGTGGAAAAGGAAGTGGTGGTAGCTTTTTTTTTTTTTTAATCTTGCCTCTCAAATTAGAGCCTCTAAAAGCAAAATAACAGATGAAGGAAAACGGTACACACTCCCATTCTCTCTACATGTGCTGCTTAATTTTTCCCTATTTAAGCAAAGCCAACAGGTGCAGTGAATTGTACACCTGTGAGCTTTAGGAGTACTAGGGACAAGACAAGTCACTCTAGAAATGCTGGAAGCAATAAGCCAAGCAGGACGGACGAGCTAGAAAGTTTCCAGGGCATCTTCAACTAGGAGCACTGTGTTTCTCTGCACTGGAAGCCAGCAACATCGCACACTTGATCCCTTAGGGAAATTTAAAAGCAAGACCAGGGCTTGCAGCTGAGCATGGAGACAGCAAGTTTAACACTCGGACATGTATAGAAAAAAAGTAGGTTTGTTTGTTTTTTTTTTAACAAAGAGTGTATTATGATCCCTGTGAGAGGGCATCATCCTGCTACAGGGAAGTCAAAAAGCCAGGCGAGAGGCAGAGCAAGCGCCGGTTGGACCAGCTCTGCTCCAACTGCAAGAGGTGGAGGCCGGCACTGAAGACACTTCTCCACTAGTCCCCATACCCAGAGGATTTGCAATGGTATTAAGTCTCCCCTACGGCGCTGAATAGCAGCTGGGATATTTAGGAAGGTGATCTCTTTCACCACAGGGAGTCACCCTGAAAGGCCCAGGTGTGCTTACAAAGCAGCTTTTGACCATCCTTCCCTCACCCGGTGCCTGCCCTGTCCAGCTCTCCGGCCAGGCTGCCAGCAGCAGCAGAAACACAGACAAACCAGGAATAACAGCCCCATCTACCAGGGTCTTGGAAATGATCTGCACCCTCGCATTTTGCAACCGTGCAACCCATCACCGTCATCCACCTGAAACCTGCCAAGTGGGAGCGATGCTCAGGTGTTTGCCTGCCCCCAGAAAGGCGCTTTTGTTCACATACCTGCATCTGAGAGCGGTTAAATGCTGGTATGGTCATCACCTGCCCTGCATTGGTCCTGATGTAGTTCAGACCCAAAAGGCACGTATCCAGACTGTCTCCTTCGCTCTCAGCATCCCCTCCACTCTCCAGAGGTGATGTGGTGAACAGCCTCTGGGACCAGAACTAGCTTCTTGGGCAAGGCTAATGAGTTCAGCATTACAGGTGATAATTACAGGTGTAAGCTTCACAGCAGCTTTCTAGGTTTTATGGCAGCACCACAGGGTTTCCAGCCGCATTGCAGGAATGAGCAGCGCCTGCGTGTATGGTTATGGCAAAAGCTTGCCCCAGACTTTGACGTGACTGTCCTCGTGGCAGACCAGCTCCGAGTTCTGCAACGTGCCACACTTCTTCCTATGCTGAGCTCCCTGCTTTGCATAACCCTAGATCTAACCTTAACCCACATATAGGGTGGGTAGGGGTATAGTCCCTTTGAACACCTGAAAGGTTAGTTGTTTCAGTCCTCAGCATCCAACTCTGGCTCATACACTACACCTCGTTCCCTCCTCTTCTGAGCTGCCTGCTGTTAAAACCCAAGCCCCCGCACTAAGGGTGGTGGGCACAAGGCGCCGCTGCAAGGCGGTCTGTGCTAGATGCACAGGTGTGCTGTGGTACCCCCCGCTCTGCCCAAGAGTCACTGGCAGGGCTCTGTACCAAAATGAAGAGAGTCAGCTGCGTGACTCAATCCAAGGAACCCTCCTGGGTGCAGTGCAATGGCATTTAAAATGAACACGAAGATTTTGTACCAAAGCAGGTTTCTCTGGCCTTCAAAGCGGGGTTAGGGAGCCACCATTTCAGAGGATGCACCCCATGCCCTTTAGAGGATTTATTTTATTCACGTTTGAACAGTACTAGTAAAAACAGTAATCTTGTAGCCAGTGAAACAAATGCTGACAGAAACATTTAGGACTCTCTCACGAGAAGAGACACACTAGTTAAACTCAGGCTTTATGAACACTTCATAAACTGAGGTTTTAAGCATCGGCCCAGAAAATATATGTTCTTTCAATTACAGAGATAATCAAAACAAAAAAATACCTTCATTATGTGGTTTTATTCATCAGTGACTACCAAATGTATATGGGAATAGATATAAATAAAAATTACACACTTTCAAATTTGGACAGTAGAAAAATGGCAGTGGGTATTCTTAAAAATCCAAGTATTAAAAGAGCAGATAAAAACAGCTCCAGAAATCAGCATCCCAGGAAGCAAGACATTCAGGAAGTCAGTGTTGTGGATGAGATTGTACATACCAAGACCATGCCCAAGGTGTTTATCACAGCCTGCCTCTTTGCAGGGCTGATAATCAAGAATGTTCTTCATTCCCATTGCTACATACAGCTGTAACGCACTGTTCTCTCTTTACCCGTCATACAGACTCGATGCAGATGAGGTTTTCACAAACTCAGAGGCTTTGTGGTTTTCACAAACTCTAGCTGGCAAGGGCTGGGAGCTGGCAGTGCCACGCATTGGCTAGAAGAAAGAAATTTTGCCTGTTATGTTGGCCAATGTCTCTTTGGAAGCTGCAGGGCAGTGGGGAGATGTCCCAGCAACTCCTTGGTACCACAGCAATAACGAGGCAAATCTGAAGTGTTTTTCTTCCTCTGCTAGGATGCATGTATTCAAGATGACAGGGTTCATCTGTCCTGAGAAGGTTCAAGACACACAGCTTCGGAAAGTGCTAAGTTTGTGACAATTGCGGATTTACCATGTGCTTTACTCCATGTGAAGTCTATCTGCAGCAGGATGCTATTAACCCAAGAAAGAAAAAAAAAATTTAAAATTACAAGCTCAACTCCAACTGCATGCTGGCGCTCCTGGGTGGGGAGGAAGCCTCCTAAGAGGAGCACTGAGGTGAATTCATCAACCACCCCCCCCACACACACTTTCCTTTGCATACTTACTTATATGCTGCACACCGATTTTAGTAAAGAGGCTTCCAACGAGTATACCTTACTCCTAAAAGACAGCATCAATCGCCCTACAACCATTTTCACTGTTTCACAAAGCAAAACATCCTACAGGTGGGAAGAGTAGAACACTTTTGCAGCCTGGATTTAAGTAAACAGTTGAGTCTCTTCAACTGTGCATAAAGCCCTTTGCTTCCTGTAAAAGAAAAGCCTTGATGTAATCCTACAACAGTACTTGGACACTAAAAATATCACGTGATTATTTGGGCAAAGAAATGACTGGAGAGGAAAAGGAACATCTGTGAATGGGGGTACATACATTAGGGAGGGAATTAGAAAGCACACGTGTATGAGATTCATGGATCACAGCATATTGGCAAGGACTCTTCAACAGCTCCTTTCTCCAGAGGGGTTCTGTGATGCTCAGCAGCAACATCAGCTAGCTCCTGTTGTGACCGAATGTGATAGAGAAAGGCTATCGTAAGAAGCATACCTAGCCCAGTTCAACCAGCCCAAAGGAAATACAAAGAGAAGGTTGTGGAGAAAGGGAACACTGCCAGACCCTCAAGGGAAAGAAACTTTTCACTACATGGAGACCTCGGCCTAAGCCATCTTGGGTCAAATCAGATCAGTCCAGAAGAACATGGTTACAAGTTCTCTGCTGTCCTTTTTTAACATCAGCACTGCATTTGCGAGAAAAAATTGCAATAATAAACAAGCCACCGTCTCTAGGATTTGCTCCTAGCTCCTCTTCCTACCCCTCTGCACTGCCTCAATAGATCATACCCACCAGGTATTTGCCACAGGGGAACCTCTGGCAGACGTTAAGATCTCCTGCTGCTGCCTCCACCCCCTGTGCTGAGACCTCACCTCCCCTGTGCCCCCGGCATGCCGAGGAAGGTAGCCTTCCTGCATCGTGCCCTCTGCTTGCTGCAGCCAAGGCTGCCTCCTTTTCTGAAGGGCATCTATTCATCCCCTCTGCAGAGCTCCAGCCAAACGAGCTCTCCCGCCCAGCCCCATCCCAGTTATCCCAAAAGGTAATTCTGAATCCCCATGCAGAGGTCCTGCTCCTGACCCTCTTTTCCCAGGCTGCGTGGATCCACCTCTCACTGGCAGTCCTTGGTCCTAAAAAAGACACTCATCAAAAAAGTCGAAGTGATACTTTAGGAAATCCTTACATGAAAACAATCACATTCCAGTAACGTGCCAAAAATATTTCAGTAACAAGTACTCGGCTGCAGCTACCGCTGATATAAACCAGCCCCATCGCCTACGCAGGAGCTGTCTGATGACCGCCATATTCTCAATATCTGGAACATATTCACAGATAAAGAAAAGGGACAATGGTGAAACAGCAGTAGCAGCGATTCAAAGTAGAGTGGGTAAGCCCGTGCTCCGAGTTTGGAAACTTTTAACGTGGAAGGGTGAAAAGACAGACCAGGGCAACAAGTTACTCTGGGCAATCTCAGAACTGGGGAGCACATCAGCAGCTGCCCTGGTCCAGCTACGGCACCCACCGAGTCCCAAAGCGAACAGGCTCTCACCCCACCCTGACAGGCAGTGACAGACCTCTGGCAGCAGGAAGGAGCCTCCCACGGCTGGATGCTGGAAAGCAGAGGACTCCAGGATGCGCCAGAAGCGCACAACCGAAAAACACAGCGCACAAACAGAACGGGAAGGGCCCTTTCAGGGCCAAATGGTGAAGTTCTCGCATGCCGCTCGGCTAAAAGCTGTTAATTATTAACAATATCTTTAGTTGCCTTGCATCTAACAGGTAAAGGCAACAGGAGAATTTATAATATTGTGCAATATTATAAATAGCTTACTTTAGGTTTTCTTGCTGTTAATATGCATCTTACAGCAAAAGCAAACAAGCACATGTGCTAAGGGGGAAAAAAAAGGGAAAAGACTTTCTTTACAGGTTGATTGCCATGGCTGAAGTTAGAAAAAGAATAGTAAGACCACAGCGACGTGGAAAAAGGGATCCAATCTGAACACCTCTCCGCCTCCAACAAAACCCATTTCTCTCGGTGAAGGCTTCGCCTCCCATCATCGCTATTAATCACAGAAATAATATAACCCTAAAAATAGTTAAAGCAGATTAATTAGCTTTTTTTTGCGGATTACCGCGGTATTTTTGAGGAAGAAATCAGTAACGCGGCCGCTAGAACTGGTGCTTCGCCAGAGGAGCTGCTCCCAACTCAGGGGCTCCCCTCTCCACGCCCCGCGGGCGGGCCGCCGGTCCCAACCGCACCCGGGCACC